TCTCGGCTTCGTCGACGGTGCACTACATGATGAGCAAGGTGATGCGGCGGCCCTGCTGGACCACGCACGTCTGCCCGCGGCGTTCGACATGATTACCTTAGCCCACCACGCCGCCCACGACATCGATGCCCTTGTGCGAGGTCCTGAGCACGGGGCAATGCGAATGCAAGTGCTCAGGTGCTGAGGCTGCCAAGCCTGTCGGCGCCAGCCCACGACCACTGGTCGCGATACTGGCGCCCGTGCAGGCGGAGAGGTCGCAGCCCGCGACTGCGCGCGCGCCCTGCGCCGCGGCCATTGGCGGCGCAGATGCCCTGGCCGTCGTTGCCCACCGCCAGCAGCGCGAGCAGCTTGGGAGGTAGGAAGTCGTCGACGGGGATGCACAAGTGGCCGCTCGGCGCCGATTCCACGTCGAAGTGAACGGCGCCGAGGCCCCCAATGATCTCGCGGTCGCCAGACCCAGGAATGGCGCGGCGCTCGCGGTCAACGCCTTCCCCCGCCACGCCGTCGTTCGACTGCACGCGGACCTTAAAGGGCAGAGAGATCATCGCCTGGGCTGCAGACCCTAAAGGGGAAGGAGGCCATCGCCCGCGCCCTCCACGGCGAGAGCGCGAATGCTGCACTGACGGACCACGCCATCGCAGGCAGCCATCACGATGGGGAAGCGCACCTCGCAGCGCGCTACCACGCACAGCGGGTTTGACGACTCCTCCTCCGAAGGCAGCAGCCTCGCCCCGCGGGCCTTACGGGTCAAATTCACGGCGAAGCGCAGTCCACAGAAGTTCGCCCAGGCGCCGGCGTCGACAATGACGCCTAACCAGCCACCTGGTAGATTGGCGCTCGCCAGGTAGCACTGCGACTCGCCCCCTGGACTCGCGCCCGCGCCCGGAGAAGTCGGCAACCACGGGGGCGTCGGTCAGCGCGTCGGCGCGCGCGCGCCCAGGCGGGCGTCGCAAGGCACCGCCACGTCCGCCGCGGACGCAAAGCTGGACGCGCTGCTCGGCGCCGGCACGAGATCTGGCCGAGGCGCCCCCAGGCTAGGACCCCGTCGAGAAGCTTGTGCTGGGCATTGCTGTGGCTGGGCCTCCTCCCGCACGCCCCCGTCTTCTGCCGCGCGGGCTGGCGGCCGGGCCACGGCGCGCTGGGCCGCGCGCCATGCGGGCGCCCGTCTCCTGCGCCAACTGCAGAACGGTGCAGCGCCGGACTGGAAGGCCTCGAGGCAGACGGGGCACCCCCCATCATCGCCCGTGAAAACCGCGACGGAAGGAGGCTCAGCAGGTGGAGCGGCTGGCACAGGAAGTCTTTCTGTCCAACTCTGCGCGGCCTGACGTCGCTGCCTGTCCTGATGCCGCCCGGCCGCGCGCCGCGGAGCTCGTCGAGGCGCCGTCGCTGCGCGCCGTCGATGAAGGCGCCCACGTCGCACTCGGGTCGGCCGCCGCTGGCCGACCAGGCATCGCGGCGGGCGAACCGCACGGCCACGCTCCCTGACGGTTGACCCCCGTCGACGGGGCTGTTCTGGATGATCAGAGCCAGCCCCTGGGGAGGCTCCGTGACAGGCGTCGTCGCGACCACTGGCGCGGTCTGCGGCGGCGACGCGGAGCTCGACCCACGCGGGGCCCCGATGCCAGGGGCGGGAACAGCAGGCATGGACGCCCAGCTCAGCAACTGCACGTCGGCGAGCGAGGCCAAAAACACGGCGACTCGCGCGTTGAGGTCGCCCACCCAGTCGCGCCCCACCGCTTGTCCCATTGGGAACGCACCGCCCACCGCTGTTGCGCCCGTTGCAGCGGCGCTTTGGAAGATGCCGAAGCTACTGGCGCTGCCGGCGCGGCCGCAACTCCAGGGGCCGCACCCGTCGGGGCCGCCCCCCCCCCCCGCGGCCGCCGCGCGGGACGGCGACGCAGTCGCTGGCCCGCAGGCCGCGCGAAGTCTCGCGCGCGCCGCAGTCGCAGCGGCCCTGCGCCGAGGAGATCGGAGGAGGCGACGACGAAGACGATGGGCCCACCCATCGCGACTTAATGGCCGTGGCCTCTTGTTGCCAGGAGCCGTCTGACGACGCACTCGGAGCGGCGGCCGGCGCCGCCGGCCTCGGCGCCGACGCCGCGGAACCGATTGCACGCCGTTCCAGGGGCCAGCGCCCGGCGCGGGATCACCTACCCCGGCGCCCGGAGCCACGGGCTGCTGAGCCCTGGAGGTGCCCCTGGCCACCCACGCCGCGCGCGCTCCTGGCACGGGCCGCTGCTCAGACGGCCCCGGCGGCCCCCGCTGCCCCAGAAGCGCAAGTGGGCGGCGACGACGACGACGGCGCGCGGGCACGAAGCAAGCAGCGCAGGAGCAGTCGCGCACGAGGTGCTCCTCAGGGCCCCGCTCGCGGACTTCGAGACGCACCCTGCCAGTGCCCATGGGGCTGCCTCGTGGCGGCCTGAACCCACGCCACTGGCCCTGAACCACCGCTCACCTTGCACCCCCGCCCTTCCCGAAGCCAACGACGGCCGCCTGGGGGTCGTTTTCGGACACGACGGCCACGAAGGCAGCGTGGCCCATACATTTGGCCCTTGTCCTGTCGTTCGATGACCCTCCGGACGCGGCGCGCGGGCTTGCGGTTGCCGGAGCTGCGCCAGCGTGCTTTGGGACGCTCGCAAGCCCAGGAGAGGTGCGCAACGCGTCGTTCTACAGGAACGTCGCGTAGCTAGGGGCCTTCTGCAGCAATATCTTCACCAAGCGAGCCGACGGCGTCGGCGCCGGTACCTGAATGCCCCTGCGCTGGAGGCGCCGCGCTGGCTTTGCCGGCGGCTGCCGGCGCAGACGGGCCCTGTGCCGCCCCCCAGCGCAGCGTGACCCATACCGCCCAGCCAGATCCAGCAACGGTGCCACAGGAACCCCCAACCTGATCTCGCGCGGGCGCACCTGCGAGAATGGCGCGCCGTCGGCGACCCCTCGATCGCGTGCCCGACAAGTCGCAGCTGGCACGCCACGCACGTGAGCAGCGCTGCGTTCGCGGGGCAGGCCACGCTGCATCGCTGCAAAACCATGGCCAGCTGGGTGTTCGACACGCCAACGGCGCGCAGCAGGAGGAACCTGAGGCCTTCGTAGCCGACCAGATTGCTGCGCCCGGTCGCGGAAGATGTCGAACCGTGCAAGGAGGTTCTCGCGCTCCTGCGGTAGACGGTTGAAGTCCATCAGCGCCGACACTCCACGCCACTTTGGCAACACCGTTCCGCCAAACTGCGCATCAGGAAGGTCATCAGTGGCACTGGGTTGCCGTTGATGAATCCTCCCTGGATCAGGACAGCCAGCAGCCATTGGTACACGAACTTGCGCGCCATGCCGGCGAGGCGCGACGAGTCGTAGGCCGCCTGGCGAAACGAATTAAAGTCTCAGTTCGCCACTGACCAGATCACCACCTCGCGAATCCATCTCTAGACGGGCACTCGACCTTGCTGCCTGGGCCCCCAGGCGCGGAGGCGGCGCGCGTTGCCGCTGCCCCCGCAGCTGGCGACGGCAAGCATACCCACCCCGACGGCCTCCCATCTGGAGCGCAGATCCCTCCAAGTGTTGTGGAGGTGCTGGACACCAGGGATCCACCAGCGGAGTTGCTCGGGAAGTGTGCCTCCGAGCCGCCGCGGATACAGAGCCATGATGTTTCCCTCCTCGTCTGCGTATGGGGCGTAAGCTGCTGTCGCGGGGTGGTAGTGCTCCCGATGCTCGGAGCATCACGTGACACAGTCTGGGGCATGTTCGCCGGCGGTCGTGTTGTCATTGTACTGAAAGCCGCCACTTGCACGATCGTTAAGAGGAGTGCACATCGGGACCCTGTCGTGCCAAGCTGCAAGAAATGTGTACACTTGGCAAGAGGCCATTATCCAAGATCTCGTAGACGGGTCCTCCTTTCGACGTCCCTCAGACTGCTGGTGACACAGTCGCCATAACCTCCATTGCATCCCCGTTATACCTGCCTGCTCCTTTCAGGGCTCTCGAGAAACAGTCACCAGAAGCTCGGAGCCCTTAGCCGACACCATCAATGGGAACGCTGCATCGAAAAACTGTCCGACACTTCCCGTGCTTCCAACAAACGGGCGCATCGAAAGCGTACGGTCCGCGAGCTGCGCTGACACAGTCAGTGCAAGCCCGGGATCACTGACTGCTCCGGAACGCCATGAGATTCCTCGTGCCCATGGGCGGCGGAGCGGCGGGGGTCCTTGAAAGTTTCGTTCGTGTACGTGCAGTCGTATATGTGTGTTTCCCCCGTCACCAGTCCTGGCAAATTGGTTGGTGCTACTCTGACGGGCCCGAGAATGACGGACGTATCTTGCCAAGGTGACAAGGGGAGACATGCATGAGAGCGAGACTCACACCCGATGTAAAGCGGCGCGACCAACTCGACGAACAGTGTGTAGAGCGGCGTGGCCACCTGAATGAACAGCGGCGTGTCAAGCGACGGAGAGGTGGAGCCATGGCCATCGAGGCGAGGCGGGACATGGCGGCCGAGGCATTGGAGCTGGAGCTCCACTACCAACTCGAGAAATGGATGTGAGGCGTCGTATTCGTCCCAATGGATTGCAGCAATCATATACCCGGAACCGTCTCCCACCCAGGGCCGGTGGTCCATTGGTGTACCATGAATCGCCTTGTCAAGGATAAGATAACCCAGAGGGTGGGTGATGCTGAATGAAAGAGCCGTGCTCCTTACCTTCAAGAGTGCACGCTCGTCCTCGGCCAAGATCGCGCAGTACTGCTCGAGAACATCTGAGTCCAGCATCTCAAAGACGTGGAACCACACTTGGAGCCACCAGCTCTCGGACAGCCGCTCGCGGTCCAAACACTGCAAACTGCTAGATAGGATGGAGTTTACGTATGCTCGCATTTTCTTCTGAGAATGAGCATGGCAAACGATCGCCGCGCAATACTCACCGCCCATCAGCTCCTGGAATGACAGGTGCGTAAGCTGCACCTCAGGCTCCGCATCGAACACTTCAACTTTCTAAGATGGGCATGCGCCCCTGCTAAAACGCATCCTTCAGCACCACGATCATACCGTTGTCGTCTGAGGCCTGCTCTATTCCTGTCCAGGAAGTCGAGCGCAGCCTCAATTGGTGCAAATGAAACGACACTGACTGGAAGAGTTGTCGTGCCCGTACGCTCTTCAACATCTCTAGCCTGCGAACCATCGCTTGGTCATTGGCTCCATCCCGCATCGCGAACTTTGCAGCATCATATTGATGCAACATGAGCTTCACAGCACGCTGGTAGATATCAGTCTTCTTCATGACATCCTTTCGTGCACGGTCATCTGTCAGTGGAAGACTCTTGCCTTCTGTACTCTGAGAGTGGAACTTCCGAAGCACATGGATGAGCAATGTCAAAATGAGGGGATTCTCCCTGAGGGAGGAATAGCCCGGGTCAGACACACTACTTCGGATGGCGCTGATCGTCTCATGCGCTTCTTGAGCGCGTGTAAGTGTACGCTGCACAACGTCTTCAGCCTGTGGGAGAGTCAAAGCACCCATCCTGAACGAGACGAAAGCCAGCGACGCGAGCAAGTCATACTCCGAGGGTCCCAAATTACCTGGCCTCGATGTGAGAACACAGAGATGTGACGGCTCGCTTTGCAGTATCGACCGGATGAATTCCAGCACCTGTAACCGAGAGGAAGCTGCCTCATCCAGACCATCGAACAACAAAAACAACGCCTTGATGTCTTCTGAATGCTGGGGGTCTCCGATAGCTTTCTCGCGTGTTGCATCTTCTCCTTCCGATGCCGAAAGAGCAGATGTCCTCCTGGACGCGCGGTCAGCAGCACCAAGGCACCAATTTCGCACAGTATAGACCAGCTTGTGCGGGATGGAATCGTGGCCATGCTTTCTTTGCATCCACTCGGATAGCAAGTCGCAGATCGGGTCGGCCCCCAGAGGCAGGTCCGGGTTAGCCTCAAGCTGCCTAGCCAAGTCGATAAGTGGAGTCCGGACGGGGATGAGGTTCATGCCGCTGATTCTCGTGGTGCCCGCCATGTCTCCTGGCTCATCGCGGATGCCGAGCACCTGTTGCTGCCACTTCCGAGAAAAGCTGCTTCGTCATGAGAGTCTTCCCGCTCCCGGAATCGCCAATCACGAATACCCGACCCTGATATCTTTCTTGACTCAGCACTTCTGGTAGATACTGCTGGTGGACCATGCGCAACTTCTCGCAGACAATCTTCACGCTCTTCGGCAGCTGTAGGCTACGCGGGAAAATGCGCCCACTGAACTTCAAGTCCACTTTGATACAATGGTCAGTCACGTGTACTTTCTCGCGGGTGAGGAAGTCAGTGGACCACGCCTCCGCTGTACCAATCTGCGCCAAATACTTAGGAAAGTCAGATTCAAACTCGAAAGAAACAACCTGCACGTGAGTCGCACTGGTACTCAGCCGGCGGCCTTTCTGGCCCTCCCAGACTGTGCGGTACTGTTCAATCCATTCCAGCGCTGTGGGTCCGACGTCAACGCCAGCTTCCCACATCACTCGCTGAGCGCCTGCAAGGGCAAAGAAAGAAGCACGGGTCTTCTGGTGCATGCTCGGCTCACTGTATGATAGCATTCGCGCCGACCACGAGAAGAAAGCTAAAGCGAATGGAACACCGTCGTTGTCTGGGACGTCGTCACCAATCTCGTAGATGCAGAGACAGTGCCTGATGCGTGTCAGCAGCTCAAGCACAAACGTAGCCGTCGGATCGCTCTTGAGCTGCTCCCCTCCGATTAAAGGCAGCGCTGTTGTGGCATGGGTGTAGCGAACAGCAGCTTCGCAAACGTTTGGATGTGCGACTCGTTCACGTTATCCTCCAGATACAAGAAGAGGCAAGACGCAAGGAATTTTGAGAGATCCATGAGCACGTGGACGTTGTCCTTCACGGTCGCGAAGTCTATCAGCCAGACCAGCCCTTGTGAGTCGAGCAGTAGATTCCCGCCGTGCAAATCGTTGTGCGCCAAGCCACAAACTATTTGCCGGTCAAACATTTTTTGAATCGCTGCTCCTGCTCAATGAACTCTTGGAAGAAGCGCTTGATGGTAGAACGTTTGCCGCACAATTCACTGACGAACTTGCCTTCGGGATCTAGGTCATGGATGTCGGGTGGCGTCAGAAACCCGATGCCCAATGCAGCATTGTGTTTGCTAGGTTTCGCACCCTCCACGGCTCGATTGAGGATGCCGTGGCCGACAAAGCGGACAATCTTGTACATCTTGGCTAGATTTTCCTTCCTGACGGAACGCGTAGACATCGTGAAGGCAAGCATGCGTCGGGTCAGGGCCTCGTTGACGATGGGCACCACATCAGTCTGGCGCTTCCCAGAAGTAAACTCACCCTGGATTACTGACGCAAAGGTGAGCACAGGTGGGGCAGAAGCAAACTCGGGAAGACCAAATATGCCACCGCATAGGTCAATCTGCATGACAGCACATGGTTCGTCGTCGGAGACGTCTTCAAGAAATTGAGAATCCTTTACTTTCGGAGTTGTCAAGCCAAACAACT